CCATACAATGTTTTTTGGCTATTGCTACAAATATACCCCAGCGACTTAAGACTGGTTTTGTGCTCCAGGGTCACAAATGTGAAATTTAGAAGCAGAAAGACTGAAATAGTATTTTCTTGTAAAACATACTTCAGTAATCCTTGTTTTATTTACAACTTTGAAAAATTTTTTTTTTACAGTAAATAGTTAGGTTTGTCTTAAAAGATTTATGCATTTTCCCTCCAAAATGATTCTGTTACTATATTAATATTGAAATATTGAAATGAAGAATTACTTGATATCCTTATGGCGAAAAAAGATTTACATATTAATATTTAATATTAATATTAAATATTCATTAGTTATAATTAAAAGACAATAACAGCATCATTTTGGAGGAGGAATGCATAAATAAAACAAAGATTACTTAACTGTCAAATTTACAAGCAATTTCTGAGTCCGTATATGAGCTTTGAACTGAAGTTATAAATTAATGATACAGAAAATATTATGACATTTTGAAATCATTTATAGTTTAATTATTTTACATTGGTTCCAAATAAATTCATCTTCTCATCTTTTCATCAAAGATTCATCTTAAAGCTGAAGAACTGCTTGATATCCTTATAAAGAAAATGAATAGTAAAATTACTTCTCGAGGTTTCTGAAAAAGTGACTGTTGCACTCTAGAGTCAATTATTTTAACCAAAACATATTGCACTAACATTTTTTTTGACTATATTAAACATGAATATGTCTCAAATTGATGTGAGCTGCTGTTTTCAAGTACCAGATATAGTAAAGTTGTCCGGATCGGTACTATGGTACACAACAGTACTGGCCCCGAGCCCCTGCTGTGCAGCTGTGAGCGACAGGAAGTCATGCTCTGGTGGGTTCTCGTCCTTGACAGTCGAATCACTGGATGCCACACTGGATTTATTCCGATTGGCCAAGAAACAGGAACTTGGGTAGGCGGTGAATGTAGCCTTACTAGCATCTGTCAAAATGAAAAGATCACAGTTAATTGGGTTAAAGACATTTGCATATACACAACCATTGAAATGTTTGGGGTCGGTTAGAGATTTTTTTTTTTAATGTTTAAGAAATTTATAATTTTATTCAGCTAGGATGCATTAAATTGACCAAAAGTGATAGTAAAAAAACATTTATAATGTTACAAAATATTTTCTGGTCTTTTGAACCTGCTATTAATAAAAGAATCTTGAAAAAAAATTGATCACCGTTTCCACAAAAATATGCAGCACAACTGTTTTTAACACTGATAATAATAATAAATGTTTCTTGAACTCCAAATCAGCATATTAGAATGATTTCTGAAGGATCATGTGACACTGAGGACTGGAGTAATGATGCTGAAAATTCAGCTTTGCATCACAGAAATAAAAGACATTTTAAAACATATTACAATAGAAAACAGTTATTTAAAATCGTAATAATACTTTATGTTTTACAGTATTTCTGATCAAATAAATGCAGCCTTGGTGTTTTAAAATCATTAACAAATCCTACTTTTTTAACGGTAGTGTACAGTAAAATAAACTAATAAAAGTCCTACTAATATGCCAATAAATAAAACAAAATTATTAAGGTACCTGCACTCCTCATGTATTTCTCCAGTAGATTCTGAAGGTCTTGCTCTTTGTCGTTGTTGAATTGTGTTTCAATGGTTAGCAGGACGTACTCATCCAAAAGCATCCGAATGAGATGGAACGAGCCTGTCAGTAACATTAAACTAGGTTAAATTGTTTTAGCATATCTTGCAAAAATCACTTCTTTATTTTAATTACCATAATAATCAAAGGTATCTAACGTCTGATTAAAGTAGCTTCACTCAGCTGCACACAAACTCTGGCTTTGTCCAGAATAACACACTACTTGTACTATTTTTGCAGTACATGGTATAGTATTCCTGGATGACCCCAAAGTTGGGTTGAAACAACCCAACATTTTTTAGAGTGTATTATCAGGAATACTAAGAGTTTGAAATGCGACAAACCTTAATAACTTTCTGCTCGACTACTGAGTCCAGCCATTCAATGAAAGACTCCACTGTGGCATTTTTCCTCAGGAGGTCTTTCAACTCTTGAAACACTGAAATGGAGTCATCTAGCAGATAAGATGAAGAAATCATGAATATAGCTTGAGGCTCAGCATGAGATTTAAAAAAAAAAAACATCCAAATGTTTGACTACCATCCAACAGTAACTCACATTCAGAGTAGAAGTCTGAATCTTGGTCACTTGTAATTGAAAGGAGTGCTTGAGAACCAATACTGTTCAGATCCACCTTATCAATATCATTCACCATAGAAGTCACTACATTCTGGTCAAAAAGTGCAGGTCTTGCAATCTGAAAGGATGTAAATCCATGATAGTTTCACTTTTATTTAAAAAATGGCCAAAAACAAGATTTATTCATGTTTATGTATAACATATCTACCTGTGCAAGATGTAAAAATGAGGTCTGTCTCTTTAAGGAGGACACAAATCGTCGTGCTATCAGCAGTTTCTTTTCTGAGAGGATTTCCGGAAGATTCTCCAAGGAAGACACCATCCAGTGTTCCCAGTGCTTGGCAAAATTTCGAATATCTGCCAAAAGACTGGAGATATTTCCCCAGCATTGGGTTGTATTTAACCCAGCATTTTTTAGAGTGTAATGCTTTAGAAATTTAATAATATTTATGTGATTGACTTTCTTATTTTAAGATTTAAAGTCTAGGTTTGGGACAAGGGTACAAAAATAAAATGTACACATAACTGGCACTTGAAAAGACATACATTACACTCTAAAAAATGCTGGGTTAAATGTAACCCAGCGCTGGGTTAAAAAGGGACAAACCCAGCTATTCGGTTGTTTTAACCCAGCATTTTTTAGTGTACCAAGGTTTTTTGTTTTTTTTTGAAAGATTTTTTTTCAGCAAGGACATATAAATTGATCGAAAGTGGCAGTAAAACATTTATAACTTTACAAAAGATTTCTATTTCAAATAAATGCTGTTTTTTTAAACTTTCTATTCATCGGAAAAAAAAATCTTGGTTTCCACAAGCAGCAAAGCCATTTTTAATTGACCCCAAAACCTTTGAACGGTAATGTAAAAGTGCCCGTAGTTGAAGAAATATCCAGATATGGTTCACAGACACTCACTTTGTAGAGTATAGAGTCACACACACAGAAGATGTCCACGATAACTGGATTCTCTAGCAATGGCAGGAGATGTTCAGGCATTCCCTGCCAGAAGTGAAGCAGAAAGTTCTGGATCTGGAACAAATGGGATTGATTACTGTGTGTTTGTCTAGAATCTAGATGTCATGATAACATATTCTTCAAGAGCTTAAAATAGCACCTCCTCAAAGTTGACATTAATGGCATTGTCCAGAATGCACTGACAGTGAGTTTTGTACATCATAATCAATGTGTCGACCTAACAAATGAAAAGAACAGCAGAATCTAAGGTAAGTAAATTAGAAGTACCACATATAAACATCATTTTAGAAATCGACAGACCTTATCTTTTGAAACAGAATCCTGAAGCACTAAATGCTGTGCACTTGGGAATTCAGGTAAAAGAGTTCCTGTTTTAGAACTAAGGGAGTATTTCCTGGTGAATCCCCCCTGTGAATATTAAAGAGAAGGCATACAAGTAATATTATTCTGCTGTTGTAGATAGCAAAACATGACAACATTTTTTAAATATATAGGTACATATGCAATTTATGTAAAGGTCTCATATTTTGTAAGAACACATGAGTATTTCACCACTAAATAGTTATTAAGGGTCACTTTTATTCAGTCGATACTTTTATTCAGCAAGGATGCATTAAATTGATACCAATCATTGATGATAATAATAGCACCATATATCAGAATAATTTCTGAAGGATCATGTGACACTGAAGACTGGAGTAATGCCTGCTGAAAAATCAGCTTTGAAATCACAGGAACAAATTACATTATAAAATATGTTCAAATAGAAAACAGTTATTTTAAATTGCAATAATGTTTTGCAATTTTACTGTATTTTTGATCAAATAAATGCAGCCTTGGTGAGTATAAGAGACTTACAAAACATTAAAAAAAAATACCAACCCCAAACTTTTGAACAGTATATATCAATTTCCTGAGAATGTTGCGATACTAAAATTGAAGTGCAGCACTCATATTTCATATGAAAAATCATGATTGATTTCTATAGTAAAACTGCCAACCTCATTTTTTAGCTTGCTTCCAGAGAATCTGTGCAAAACACATAAGAGACATTACTGATATGATAAAACATTTAAATAAAATGTAAATGAATTATGAAAATAAACGTCAATAAATATAATGTGTTTCAGCGTGGGCATTGAAAAATCACTTGCATTTAGGGTTGCAAAGGGGTGGAAACTTTCCAAAAATCCCTGGAATATTCCAAAAAAAAATCCTGGAATGTTTCTGAAATTTACTGGAAATTTTCCACATTTTTGCAACACTACTTGCATTACAGTTTATTCAAAACATCCAAGGACTTGCGATTGTATGCTGAATTGAAGGGATGAAGGTCAAAACTAACCGTGTCAAACCTTTTCCAGAGTACACAGAGTGATAATACGCACTGCTCTCCTTGATTCCAATACCATAATAATGATACCTGAAAGACATTCAGAAGCCAAACACTGACAGCTTTAGACATAGCCATTTATGTAGTAAATTAAATAGTAATAAATAACATTTTCAGGCAGAAACCAGGCCATTTGGCTCTCGCTTACTTCGAATGGCCTCTGGTTCCAAGCCTTCGTGTTGTTAGAAGAGGAAATTTCTGCCTTATGGTCTGAAATGACAAGAATAGAGCTCTAATATATCGTATGATCGATCTCCATGAACTGTAACTACAAAATCAATAGCTATTTTTGTCTGATAAGCTGACAGTTTCCTAAAGAGCAACTAAAATACACCTAAAATGCAATAGGTTTCGGTAGAATAGGAATCAATTATAGAAGTTATAATACAGCACTGAGAATGTTTCTGATAACTGTTTGACATATAACTGAAGATATAAAAACTCCTCTTACCTTCCCAAAAGTGGCAGCACAAGCAGGATCTAATTTCTCCTTCCGACAAAAGTCTAAATAATGAGCGTAGAGGATGCACCGTGGCAGACAAACACCTTCGCAAACGATGTAATTTTCCTCAAGCCTAATAACACAACAGAACCCAAATGTAGTATCATTCTTTGCTTCCACTTTCCGTACATTATTTAAATGGCAAGCTTCATTAAAAGATGAAATGATGAGAGAGTACCATTGTAAAGTGAGTTGAGTCTGTTTCTTCTTGTCCTTGATGATCTGACTGATGCTTTTCTTTGGCACAGCTTGTTTCACAGAGAACGTCTTAGAATAATCAACGTGGCCCAGGACCTCTTCCGAGGAAATGCTTCCATTACTTTCATCAGCTTCTGCCAAATGAATAACATACATAGCTTTCAAACCGTGACGTGTGCCAAAACTATTCATAATGTATAATTGCTCAACGAACTGGCGACAGATTGAGAATTTCGAACTGAAAGCATAGCAGTAGTTTAATCAAAGCCTGTTTGAAAACAATTTACAATAAAGATGATTTCCCCACCTGATTTAATGCCAGAATCCTCCTCCTCATCAAGCCTGTCTTTGAAAAACATGTTTTTCCCGAGATTGTCTCGGTCAACAAGAATTGTAGCATGGAGGTCATCTGCGCTTTTGCAAGCTCTCTTTGTCTGCGACGCTTGTAGTTGATGAAACATGTCATTCTTCAATGGACTCCCTATATTTCTTTTCATTGGCATGTTCAAGGAGAAATTAAAAAGAAAAACTGGAATGCAAAATTAAAACCACCAAGTGAAATAATACAAAAAAAAGTGCCCCTCAAAATCTAAATTGTTAAAACATTCCAAAATCAACACAGCCCATTCTAATGTTTAGCAATGTGATGCATATATCCATTCCTGTAATGATTCGCATCTCTGAAGCGTCCCACTAAATCTCCGAAAAACATTTAAACAATTTGTCAACTATGTGTGTTGCTTTTCCTCTTTCCTCAGAAACAAATGCTCACAAAATAAACCTGTAGCATGATGGAAACTCTAAAAATAACCGTTCAAATATAACATTAATCCTGTAAAAGTTCATTAATCCAAGAACGGGCAAGATAACACCTTCCAGTCTTAATTAAAGCTCTGCTCTCTCTCTGAAATGGTGCGTCACAGAGGTGAGTGCCTTAAGGCCATTTATCTTATTTACAGAAGACTGGCAATGGATTCTGGGATTTAATGATTAACCAAGAGGGTTATCATCTTCTTGAAATCTGGTGCTGGTCTTGCAGCTCGGCTATTGACCCAATCAGAGCCAGTCAGCCTCCCCAATGTTACTCTGCCTTTCATTTACATGCATTCAAACACTATATTCAGAACATTTTGTTATTGCTGGTTTTATCTGCAACGGTGAGGAGTAGACTCCAAGAGGCTGGCCTTGTATTATAGGCAGAGTTTCAAAAAGCCATGTCAAATAAGTAGAAAACTGTGAAATGGCCAAATAAACACAAATATTGAACAATAAAAGAATGTTAGGTTTTAGGTGTTGAGTTGTTGTGGGACAGTTTTGACTGTAAACACCCCACAACATGCTGATATTTTGTGACAACGTGCCCCATTATTGCAACTTATAATTCAACTGTGAATCACTGGGAACTGGGAAGTTGAGCCACCCCTTGTTTCTAGGCAACATTAAACAAAATTAGTGATGTGACCACAAATATATTAAGAGTTATCCATTTTACTCACCTTGTGATGAAGAGGGCCCGCATGGAATAATTGGTAACTACATTTAAGTAAAAAAAAAAAAAAAAAAGCAAAACATTTTTTTTTGCTGTCCAAAGTGATTTTTTTTATGTTCAAGGTCTCGTGCTTCTTGTGTCTGAACAATTACAGACAAATCTGAAAAAATATCACACGTGTTTGTGCTTTAGGAAGTTATAATATGAGGCTATATTTTTAGCATGATGTTAGCTCTAAACTGGAGGATAATACAAGTTTGTTAAAATGGTAGGAGTGGGGTAATTTGAGCTAAAATTCCTGGGGTAAGATGAGCCAGGTATAAAGTATTATTTTTCTGTAATTCTACATTATACTTCATTAATTTTAGACCAAGCATTTTTAAATTTTGTTCTGTTTTGAACTCTGTTTTGAACTATTCTGTTCTGAAAATTTTTACATTTTAAATAGGCCTTGTTTATGAAAATTGCCCATTGAAGTTTTTATGATATTGTATTTCCCTGTAACATTTATAAGTGGGATGTTGAGTACTATTAGCCCAGTTCTGTAAGGTCAATTGCAGTTTTTTTTTTATTCTTCAATTTGAACTTTATTTTGTTCTGTTGATAATTTAAAAAATGCCTTCAAAATTGTGTATTGTATTTTTAAATAAAACTTTTAAGAAGTCATCCATCCATCCATTCCATTTTCCAAAGCTCTTTGTCCTTATTATCGTAGCAGGGAGCTGGAGCCTAAACCAATCATCTTGAGCCACAGGCAGGGAAACACACTGGATGGATGACCAGTCAATCACAAGGCTCACACAAGTCGTTTTTCCTTTGATATAGCATGAATCTATCAATCTCTCTTCCTTTGATATAGCATGAAGTGAAAATGTTCATAATCAATGGCACAGTATAACTCCATGTGGCTCAACTTACCCTCTCCCTAGGCTCAATTTACCCCGCACTGGGGGCAAGTTGAGCCAAGAACTTTTTTTGGCCCAGTTCTGTAAGGTCAATTGCAGTTTTTTTTTTATTCTTCAATTTGAACTTTATTTTGTTCTGTTGATAATTTAAAAAATGCCTTCAAAATTGTGTATTGTATTTTTAAATAAAACTTTTAAGAAGTCATCCATCCATCCATTCCATTTTCCAAAGCTCTTTGTCCTTATTATCGTAGCAGGGAGCTGGAGCCTAAACCAATCATCTTGAGCCACAGGCAGGGAAACACACTGGATGGATGACCAGTCAATCACAAGGCTCACACAAGTCGTTTTTCCTTTACACAAGTCGTTTTTATTGAATCTCTCTTCCTTTGATATAGCATGAAGTGAAAATGTTCATAATCAATGGCACAGTATAACTCCATGTGGCTCAACTTACCCTCTCCCTAGGCTCAATTTACCCCGCACTGGGGGCAAGTTGAGCCAAGAGACCACTTTTTTTGGGGGAAAAGCCATATTTGAAAGCAGTTTGTTTTATTGATGATCAAATTGATGTACAGTCAAACCAAAATGTATTCAGACACCTTCAACATTTCACACATTATCACAGTTTATTCGCTACAGTTTAGAAAATGGTAATAAAATATGACAAGAACTCAGAGTTAAACTGTGTCCGAACAAATTCATCTTGCTAATGTCAGATAACACTTAAGCAAAACATGGTCAGGTCAAAGCCTGAATAATTTTTGTTCCCAAATTTTTTGTCAATTTCACTGGTAGTCCACTGTATGAAGATTTTTTGGGTGTAATATGTCACAGTTTACTTTATTTTGCTATCCTCACTTATATAAATGAACTATAGTGTCCTGCACCCACTAGTAAAAAATATAAAAATATATATCTGGTGTCTGAATAATTGTTGGTTTGACTGTATATATTTAAGTTGGACCCATTACTGTCATGTGCTCACTTTAAACACACTTTAAGTAAAAACTGTCTCAACTCACCCAGCTCTCCCCTATATATATATATCAGTCTTCAATTTGATTTAACTATAATCCTGATGCCGGTGTGCTTTTATTAAGAGTAGCAAAAATATGCTAAAGCTTTAAAAAAAAAAAAAAAAAAAAAGGTCCTGCTTTGGAAACCAAACGTTTGTATAATTGGACAAAAGATTGAAAACCTACTATAAAAGTTACTGATATACAGACAACCTACCTGTGGGACAACTAGCCTCGGTCTTCCCTACATGTCATTTGTTAAAATATGCAGATGATTCCTTATTGGCTCACAAACGCAGCGTTCCGCTCAGCACGTGCCAAGGCCGCGTAACCTCCCGAAAACATGATGTGCGCGCGGAGAATCTTGTCAGATGAGAAGGTAAAAAACAACTCTATTTATAAATGCTACAGACAAAATGTTTGCATATAATACACTCGGTATTCATGGCTTCGGTATACATAAAAAAAACGCCGTAGAAAACTACTTTTCTACACAAATACACCTGAAGTCGAAAATCTGTCAGGTCGACTGTTGGTGTCATTCAGAGAATACTGATTAAACGATTCATAAATGATGAAATGCGAATAACTATGTACCGATAGAGTTTTTGCATTAACATATAAAGAACTGCAGTCGTCAGGTGTTACTTGCAACAATCTAGTGCTTCTTTATTTATGTGACGTGATCTTTCAGCTCAGAAATTGATAAAATAATCAGTGTACGATAAGATATGGTACTATTGCAGGTGCTTCAGTCCATAAATTAACATTAACTATGTGTTGTATATTAACGCTGTTTTATTAGTGTGTTGGCCTCCATCATCCCAAGCTGTGGCAGACGTGCACACTGCCTTTACATTTAGCACGACTGCATGGTTAGATTGGATTCAAATGCGTTGGAGTCGAATGGAGAGGTAAGGATCATGTTATTTAACTGGTGTTTCTTAAATATTCTGTAATGTGCATAGCTATATTTATGTAGTTTTTAGTATCAAATGATGTGCTACGGTCTTGTCTTGTTATGTATATGATCAATATACAAAAAAGTGTTTTCATTTTAGTTTTAGGTAATTTTAATTTTAGGTAATGCTATTTCATATAGCATTCAATTTGTTCTTAGTTTATTGAGCTTACTTGCAACAATAGGGGTCATTTAACAAAAATATGCACATTATGCACAGCACATTAAAAGAAGATTCTTTAGTATTTTCATTTAATTAATTTTTGTTCTATCTTGTGCATTTGCTATGAAACATTCTTTCTCTCATGCTTTCTGTCTTTTTTATCTTTTGAATTATACTGCAAGTGGGCTTGTATGACTTGTAAATGTTCACTTCCCCTGTTTTACATTGTGAGAGTAAAGCTTCATGCATTATTTTTTCTGGCAAAACTTTATTTGTATTTTTTTTTCTCATATTGATTTTAATTGCCCTGGCCACATCCAAATGCCCATACCGGGATGCCATTTTAATAACACCACTGCAATTTTGCGAAAACATGAGCCAACTATCATTTACCTGATCACAGATTTAAAGTACATGCTTTAAACATTTCAGAACGTTTACAAGGAATCTAACAAGATTTTCTGTATTTTAGGGCAAAAGAGGAGTCAAAGCTCCCTGCTCCGTGTGTTTTGTGGCCTGTGGAGCTGAAGCTGGCTCACATTGACTGCAGTCCTGAGGACACACTGGTACACTTTCAGGGCCAATATATGACCATCTGTGAACTGGACTACAACATTCT